TAAGGGTATTTTAAAACGATGGAAAGCCAACAAAATTAGTCTGCTCTCATAGCGTTGGCAAGCAAGTGGTTCCAATTTCTTTTTAAAGGGATATATTTCCATGATTTCTTTGGAGAGTGGTAGTACTACTTTTTTCATAAAAACTTTCACACAAGAAAACTGTCTTATTGTATATACCACGTTTTAGTTAAAAACATTACTTACCATCATTAGAATCATATAAATAAATAATCTGCCTCCATCCGTAATACTTAACCGTATCTATTATCGCCTTATGATATTCAGGTCGCATTGAAATAGCATAGTCCATAAATCCCGAAGACGGGGCTAATACTTTTTCTGGAAACCAAGGCGTTACAAAAGGCATTTGAAAAGTATTACTATAGGAATGTAGCGTATCAAACGAATCAGGAGAAACCGCTCCCAACATCGAATATACTCCTCTGGAAAATTGAGTGCAAACTAAAAATAATTCTTATATATTAATCTATATAAATGTAATATTACATAACATAATTTCTATTGAAATCAATAAATGACGAATCTAAATTTAATTAGGTTTTATATATAGTTTTAAAATATAAAACCAAGAAATACCAATAGTTAAACTTTTTCCTGTTAATTTCATTATTTATAAATCACTTTAAATTAAAACGCATTTATATACTCACTTAATCTAGACAATTTAAATGCATCCGCTGTGTTAATAACGTCAACATATGCTTGGAATTCAAACTTTCTACTAGAAATATTTTGATTGTGCTGCAACATGGCAAATTTAAATGCTGTTTGGACGTCATCTGTGCCCTGTTCGAAAATTGCTCCTAAAATGAATAAACATAATAGTTTAATATCGAGTAAATTTACAGGAGATACTTGATAAAATTCGTAAAATAGTTTCGAAACACAATTCAGATTTCTGCTTTATAATCTGAGCCTTCTAAAAATTGCAAGGCAAACAGACGTTGATAAAAGATGTTAAAAGAGACATGGGGAATCTAAAATTTGCATTCCACGACATGTCTTTTTCAACTAAGCAGAAATCCTAAGCGAATTGTGCTTCTAGTACTCACACAGAGTAAATCCGAATAAAATGAGAAAAGGCAGCAAATTTTTTTTGCAGCAAGCAAAAACTTTGCGTGAAATCAAATATTTGCTGCCTTTTCTTATTTTATTCGGATTTACTCTGTGTGAGTACTAGAAACACAATTCGCTAAGGATTTCTGCTTAGTTGTAAAAGACATGTCGTGGAATGCAAATTTTAGATTCCCCATGTCTCTTTTAACATCTTTTGTCAACGTCTGTTTGCCTTGCAATTTTTAGAAGGCTCAGATTATAAAGCAGAAATCTGAATTGTGTTTCGAAACTATTTTACGATTTTTGTAATTAGATGTCGCTATTGCGTCCGTATTGAAGCCATGTTATTATTGCTTCTTAAAAGGCAGAAAATATTGATTTTTCACGTTGAGAACCCCTATGAATAGCTCTTCTGACCAGACCTATTAGGTCGAAATACGTATCAAGAGATACATAGGATTTGTTTGCTTGAAATCAAATATTTGCTGCCTTTTCTCATTTTATTCGGATTTACTCTGTGTGAGTACTAGAAGCACAATTCGCTAAGGATTTCTGCTTAGTTGTAAAAGGCATGTCGTGGAATGCAAATTTTAGATTCCCCATGTCTCTTTTAACATCTTTTATCAACGTCTGTTTGCCTTGCATTTTTTAGAAGGCTCAGATTATAAAGCAGAAATCGGAATTGTGTTTCGAAACTATTTTACGATTTTTGTAATTAGATGTTGCTATTGCGTCCGTATTGAAGCCATGTTATTATTGCTTCTTAAAAGGCAGAAAATATTGATTTTTCACATTGAGAACCCCTATGAATAGCTCTTCTGACGAGACCTATCAGGTCGACATATGTATCAAGAGATACATAGGATTTGTTTGCGTGAAATCAAATATTTGCTGCCTTTTCTTAAGATACTTGATAGTTGATAATAGAAATTAATGACAAATTAATTGAAAATTTATGTTTTGAATAAAATAAGGGTATTGTATTCTTTGAGTAATTAATACATATTATAAACCACAGTTCTTAAAATCGACGAATCTTTGAAATTAGAATAAAATTAAAAAAGAAAATTATTTCTTGATTACTGATAAGGTGGGTCATTCACATATTTTATTTGCTTGAGTGGCCTTTTAATAATATTCTATGATCTTTCAATGCGACAAAATTGAGATTTCATTGCAACTGACTTTTAAATACACCTCCGGCTTACCTGAATTTTTTATCAATTTTTGCGCTTCATTGATAATTGTGACGATTTTAGAAGATAAAAAGAAAGAATAAAAAGTAATATTTAAGTGTGAAGTTAGAACGAAACAAAAATACGAACACAGATATATAGAAGGTATTAAAAAAAAAGATTCGAGATAACAATGTCAGAACTAGTCAGCCGACTAATGATAGCAAATGAAGAGGAATCATAAGCGCCCAAAGAATTAAAAACAAAAAAGTCTTCTGGTCCGCAGGACTGTTAAGCTATTAAAATTGTTAAAAAAGACATCTAAACGTGCTTACCTAACTTTATAATACGGTCTACGAAATCGGATAAATAGCAGAAAATTGGCTGACTTAATAAGTTAATGAATCATAAAACAATTTAGTAAGTTATATACTAAAATCATTCTTCTTCTTACGGTGCCTTATCCTTAAGGACGTTGGCCATTACATTCGCCCATTTAATCTTATTTGTAGCAGCCTTGAATAGTTCTATGGAGGTCATCTTCATCCATTGCCGTAGGTGTTTTTCATTGCCTTCGATTATAAGTTGGAGCAGTTCATACTTTTGATTTCTTATGATGTGACCAAAATATTGTGTTTTTCGTTCTTTTATTATAAGCATAAGCTCTCTTTCCTTATTCATCCTCCGCAAGACTTCCGCATTTGTCGTATGGCTCATGTAGGATATTCTGAGCATTTTACGGTAACACCAGAGTTCGAATGCTTGGATTCTTTTTTGTGTTGCTTCTGTCATTGTCCAGGCTTCAACACCATAGAGCAAGGTGGAGAAAACATAGCACTTAAGTATTCTAGTTCTCAATGAGATGCCCAGCTCGCGGTTGCATAGAACTTTTTGCATTTTGTAAAACATTGTACGTGCCTTTTCCAGGCGTATTCTTATCTCTAGTGAGTGGTCCCAAGTTTCATCAAGATTACTTCCAAGGTACGTTGTTCTTGTTACTCTTTCCAGATATGTTCCGTCGACATTGACCTTTACTCTTCTGTTTTGGTGCTTGCTGCTGACCATCGTTTTTGTCTTCTTTGTATTCAATTTAATTCCAAATTCTCTACATGCTGTCGTTACTCGGTCCATTAAGTGTTGCAGGGCTTCAGCATTATCTGCCAGTATGACACTGTCATCAGCATATCGCAGGTTATTTATACATTGCCCGTTTATAATTATACCATCCGAGGTGCCTTCCAAAGCGTTCTGAAATATCTTCTCAGAGTAAACATTGAAGAGCAAAGGTGATAGGACATATCCCTATCTTACTCCCTTCTTGATATTGATTTTTCCAGATATTTCGCTTTTTATTCTGATTTTAGCCTTTTGTTCTTTGTAGAGGTTTGAAATGATCCTTAAGTCTTTATCGTCGATATTACATGACCTTAAAACATCTATTAGTTTATCATGTTTCACCAGGTCAAACGCCTTCTGAAAGTCTATAAAAACACAAGTATACATCAGAATCGACATCTCTACATCTTTCAACTAGCACACGTATTGAAAAAAAGTGCTTCTCTTGTTTCCGAACCCATTCTTAACACCAAACTGAGTTTGACCAGTGTGTTCGTCTAGTTTATTGTATACTCTATTGTGTATTACTCGTAGGAAAAGCTTCAACATATGATTTATCAGGCTAATAATCATATGGTCGTCACATTTCTTGGAGTTTCTCTTCTTTGGTAGTGGTATAAATACCGATGTCAGCCAATTATTTGGTATTATGCCTGTTTCGTATATTTTGTTAAGTATACCTTCCATTACTTCGATGTGTTCGTCTAGTAATATCTTTATTATTTCAATTGGGATATTATTTTCCCCAACAGCTTTTCCGTTCTTTATCTGATTTGCTGCTTTACTAATTTCTTGCTTTGTGATATAAGGTCCAGTCGATGCCTCCTGCATGTTAATGTTCGTCCTCTCTCGGTCTTGAAACATCTCTTCCACGTATTCTCTCCATCTCCCTATTTGATCTTCTATGTTCAGTAGCGGGTTCCCATGTTTATCTTCGATGAAAGACGTAGGAGTTTGTTTAAATATTCCAGCGGCTTCTTTTACTTTTTTATGTAGATTGAAAGTATCATGTCTTTGTTCCAACAATAATATTTTACCAAAAATTAGTTCCTAGCATAAGTAACACGCAATTCGGAATACGTAATGAATTGTTATGCCTTTCTCCCCCAGAAAACCGCTTTACGACCCACAAGCTTGCTATCTAAAGCTTCTTTCTCTACCAATACTACCCAACAATAATATGGAGAGAACCAGACGCAAAAATCCGTAGGTCAATGTAAAAAATATCTTGCTAAAAACTGAATGGTCGCACGTCAGGAGCCGCTAACAATGTTATTGAGACACTGGGCGGAAACCATTGACTTCACTGGGGAACACATTTTTTGTTGAGTTAGATCTCACATTTGTTTTTCACTAATTTGTGTCCTCTGAGTCTGAGAATAACCTCAGATCTTGTCTATCACGGTAACTTTTTAAACCACAGGGTATCCTCAAAAATCATGAATATAAACGAACATAAAATAAAATGTACCAAATCTACAGTTTACAAAACATTTAATGCAAGTTAAGTGGAGTTCGTATAAACAAAATTGTTTAACTAGTGAAGAGTACTTACAGATTAAGATAAAAATTTGGGTTTATAGCTTTTTCTGGAGTGTTCAGTTCAATATGTACGTGCCATCTACTTTTATATCGTGCTTTCATGACTTTCAAATCTTGATGGAAACGCCCACCCTGCTCATCACTTACCGCACCAAGATTGTCCGGGAAATTAACAAGGTGGCTATGTAAAAAATTCACTTTAATGCTCATGTTGCACCCTAGCTTTTGGAAGCTATCCAAGAGTTGCTGGACAATGTCGGCGTAATTCGATGCTCGTCTATTTCCAAGGAAGTTTTTAGCAATGTTTTTAAATGCCAACCATGCATTTTTTTTTAATTTCTGACATTGTTATCCTGAAATGTTCATCTGTAAGAAGCTGCCGAATCCATGGACCATCAAAAACACCGGCCTTTATCTTTTCAAATGACCGGCTAGTAAATTTCGATACGAGATACTTAGGCAAAGCTTAAACAAATTGCTTCATGAGACCTAATTTTAGATGCAGAGGTAGAAATGTAATATTCTTTTTGTCCACAAGTGTATAATGTACAATGTTTGAATCACCAGGTCTTAGGTCCGGTATTGGCGGCCAATTCTACTGCACCCAATGTTGCGCATGAGCTCTGCTGTCCCACATACACAGCAACAGACTTGCAACAGATCAATGACTTCCTTTATGTCGTCATATTCTTCACGCAAACAAACTGAATGGCCAATTTGAACTAAACCAAATAAATTTGCATCGTAGAAAACAAACTTTAAGCTCCACTTTGAGCTATCTATAAACAGTCGCCAGTCAGTTGCATTATAGTTTAAAATTCCCAATTCTTCCATTAAACCACTTACATTATG